AAAATGTTCATACTGCTCAAAACAATTTATACATTCGATGCAACCCTTATTAAAATACCAATGATAGATATTGCACAGATATACAACAAACATTTAAAAAATTTATATGGAACCATAAAAAAAAAAACACCAAATAGCCACAGCAATTTTGAGAAAGAAAAAGTAGGAGGGGTCACAATACCTGACATTAAACTATACTACAAGGCCACTGTAATCGAAACAGTCTGCTACTGACATAAAAACAGACACATAGATCAATGGAACAGAATAGAGAGCCCAGAAATAAACCCCATGCCTCTATGGCCAATTAATATTCAACAAAGAGGGCAGTAGCATAAAATGGTGTAAAAATAGCCTTTTCAACAAATGGTGTTAGGAAATCTGGACAGCTATGTGCAAAAAAATGAAACGTGACCATCAAGTTACACCATACACAAAAATAAACTCAAGATGAATAAAAGACTTAAATACAAGTTGTGACACCATAAAAGTCCTAGAGGAGAACATAGGCAGGAAGATCTGAGATATTCCATCAGCAATATTTTCACTGATATGTCCCCTACAGGAAAGGACATAAAGGAAAGAATAAACAAATGGGACTTCATCAAAATAAGAAGCTTCTGCACGGCTAAGGAAAACAGCAAAATGAAAAGGTGACAAACCATATGGAAAAATATATTTGACAATGATACCTCAGACAAGGGTTTGCTCTCCAAAATATATAAAGAACTCACATGACTCCACTCCAAGAAGACAAATAATCCAATCAAAAAATGTGTAAAGGACCTGAACAGCCACTTTTCCAAGGAGAACATACACAAGGCCCAGAGACATATGAAAAGATGCTCAGCATCAGTAGCCATCAGACAGATACATATTAAAACCACAGAGAGATACCATTTCACACCAGTTAGGATGGCCATTATAAACAAATCAACCTACAGTAAGTAATGGTGAGGTTGTGGAGAAAAGGGAACTCTTGTACATTGTTGGTGGGAATGCAGACTGGTGCAGCCACAATGGAAAATAATATGGAAGTTCTTCAAAAAACTAAAAATGGAACTGACTTTCGACCCATCAAGTCCACTGCTAGGATTATACCCTAAGAATCCTGAAACACCAATTCAAAAAACCCTATGCTCCCCAATGTTCACAGCAGCACAATTTACAATAGCCAAGTATTGGAAGCAACCTAAGGAACCATCAATAAATGAATGGATCAAAAGACTATGGTACAATTTACAGTGGGATACTATGCAGCAGAAAGAAAGAAGGAGCTCCTCCCCTTTGTGACAGCATGGATGGATCTGGAGAGCATTATGCTAAGTGAAATAAGCCAGGTGGTCAAAGACAAATAGCATATGATTTCACCTATGAGTGGAACCTAATCATCAAAACAAATAAACAAGCAAAATATAACCAGAGACATTGAAATAAAGAACAAACTGACAGTAACCAGAGGGGAGGGGAGAGAGGGAAAACAGGGTAGAGAAGGGGAAGGTTTACAAGAACATGTATAAAGAACCCCTGGACTAACCTAAAGGTAGAATTAAGGGTGGGAGGTGGGGGTGGGTGGGGCAGAGGTAAGTGGTGGTGGGAAAATGGAGACAACTGTACTTTAACAACAATAAAAAAATTAAAATAAAATGTCAGGGGTAAAAATGAAAAAAATTCACAGATCAAAACCTGCAAAATAAACTCCTACCTCTTATCAAGAGTTTGGGAGAGGGTGGGCAATCTCTAGGGGTTAAAATCTTATAAGAGATTATGACCTTTCAAAGAAAGAGAAATAAAGCTGAGAAGGTAAGAAGAAATGTGGTAAGACAAAAAAAACTTTTCAATGACAGCTTTTCAGGTAGACACAGGAATTAAAGAGCATGCGAATTTTTTTTGAATACCTGTTCTCGGTAGGAATATTTCTTGTACACTATTTTGAAAGAAAGAAAGAGAGAGAGAAAGAGAAAAAAGAAAGAGAGAAGGATGGAGGGAGGAAGAAAAGGGAGCCCTGATTGCTGTGGCTCAGTTGGTTGGGCGTCATCCTGCAAAGCAAAAGAAAAGAGAAAGGAAGAAAGGAAGGGGAAAAAAATACAAGCTGAAAAGAAGGACATATATTTCCCACTGGCCAGGAAAGAGGCCGAATTAGGCTCTCAAGTCTGTGAGAAATACAGAATACAGCTGAGGATGAGAATGTCAGCTATGCCAAGTACTGCAGACTGAATGGCTTAAACAATAGAAATGTATTATCTTGCAGTTCTGGGGGCTAGAAATATGAAATTAAGGCAGTGTTGGTTCGTTTCTTCTGGGGACTGAGGGAAGGACCTGTACTAAGCCTCTCTACTTGGCTTGTAGATGGCCATCTTCTCCCCGTGTTTCTTCACACAGTCTTCCCTCTAAGCATTGTATCTTGGTGGCCAAACTGACCTTTTATTTAAGGACACCAGTGATATTGGATTTCGTCCCACCCTAATGACATAGTCTTCAGGAGTAACACCTGCAACAAACTTATTTCCAAATAAAGTTACATTCTGAAAACTGGGAGACAGGATGTCAACATAAGAATTTTGGGAAGAGACACAATTCCACCTGTAATAACAGCTAATATTTATTGGGTTCTTACTCAGTGCAAGAGACTGTACAATGCATGTTCCATATAATCCTCTTAAACAGTATCCCACTTTTTATAAATAAGAAAGATAAGGCCCAGAGAAGTTAAGTAATTTGTCCAAGATCAAACAGCTGGTAATTAATGGCGCTAGATTTTCAGAACCTGCTCCCTGTGGATCTCCAGTGCTAACCACTACTCTCTACCCTGTATATAAGACAACATACCAGTCATTCAGATATCTTTGCAACAGAATCAATCAATAAATGCCTAAGTGAATAAATGAATGAAGTACCTCAATGCAGAATGAACAAACTTAGTGGGTGGCTCAGAATTTCTATACAGTGAGGTAGGGCCACTGTCCAAAGCACCCAGCAAGCTACCAGTAGTGTCCTTAAGTCCAGGGTGAATGCTAAGTGGCATCTAGCAGAGAGCACACTGGCTTTGAAGTCCAACAGAATGTGCTTGGTGGCAGGAGACATGCATTAATGATTTGTATGTGCCCCCACTCTAAAGAAACAATTCTGAAATGATTTTCAAAGGTGAGAGAAATGGTATTTGAGGAGTTAATCTAGAAAAAACACAATTTGGGCAATTATGCAAACCACCAGGCTTTATTAACTTCCTAATGCACTGTCAGCTGTCATTTCAGCAGCAACACTGTTAACTACCATTACAGAGAGAACTTTTTTTAGTAACTTGCATTTCAAACTTGAAAATGTGTTTTTATTATAAAACATATCATTGTAAATCATCGTTCAAAATCATTAATCCAAAAATCAATGTCAAAACTGTCTCTAAAAAGAAAATTATGTCACATTTGCACTTAAAGTACTCAAGTTCAACTAAATCTGCTTGAGGAAAAAAAGTCAAAGGAGAGAAATACCTTAAACAGTATGTCTGGTTCTGCCACTTAACTCACAAAGAAGAAAAACAAGATATAAGTCAGCTGGTGAAGGTTGCCCAGATCCTCCAAGCCTCTCATCCTGTCTCAGGGACTAAATGGGATGCCTGAGTTTAAAATCAAATTTCAGAATATGCACCTCTGACTCTAAGAGTAGCCACCTTCTCCTTCTGATGGTTAGCTGAAGAAATGGAGATCTGATCCTGTGCTGGAGGAAAAACAAATCTGTGGTCAGTTTAATGACATGTTGATCTAACAGAATATTATAAGAGATTTGAACTTGAGTATATGTGACTTTCCCTTCACCAACTGTCTTAATGCCTAATGCACAAGAAAGTTGCAATTACTCCATATCCCTTCCTACACAATGATACTCTATTGATAAGTTTTTGTCTCAGAAATAACATGGCACAGATAGCCCCAAATTATCAAGAAACCCAAAACCCTCTTGGCCACAGTGCAGCCCCTGGGCCTCACTGACAATGACAAATCGACTGCAGCAGTTCCACAAGGGGCCTCTCAGGCTGTGGACCAGGCAAGAGACCTAGAAGGAGGTAGACTAAATTTACATGAAGTTTTTAAACATTTTTTTATATTTTTACTTTTCTAGATATATTTGGTTCAGGGGTACATTGAACCTTTCCCAGTAGCTTTGCCTTCTTGTGTTTTTGTTCTTTTAATTGTGGTGAAATATATATAAAGTATACAATTTACCATTTTAACCATTTCTAAGTATACAGTTCTGTGGCACTACATGCACTCACAATGTTGGGCAACCATCACCATTATCCATCTCCAGAACTTTCTATCATCATCCCAACCTGAGACTCTACACTATACCTGTTAAAAACTAACTTCCCATTCTTCACTTTCCTCCAGTCCCTGGTAATCATTATTATATATTCTGTTTCTATGAGTCTGATTACTCTTGGTACCTCATGTAAATAAAATCATACAACATTTGTCCTTTTCCATCTGGCTTATTTCATCTAGCACAACATTTTCAAGGCATGTGCCAGAATTTCCTTCCTTTTCAAGTCTGAATAATATGTCATTGTATGAATATACCACATTTCGTTTATCCATTCATCCATCAACAGAGACTTGAGTTGGTTCCACCTCTAGATTATTATGAATAATGTTGCCGTAAATATGGGTGTGCAAATGTCCCTCCTTCCAATTCTTTTGGGTATATACCCAGAAGTGCTGATCACATGGTAATTCTATGTTTAATACCTGCACTGTATTTTGCTTATATGTAATGTTGTAAATTATGTTAAGTATTATAAACAGATACATCCTTTAAATGTGCTTGGTGAGGTGAAGGTGGCTGAGGTTTCTAAATGTTTTAGATAACTGAGAGTCACCTCTGTGTTTTCTGAGTTTTGCTGTACACACAATGCTAAGGGAGATAAAAGGCTAAGAGCTAAGGATGACCAGTGCAGATGAAGGAAATCAATCTGTTGCCAACAATGTGCTTAATAATCTGGAAGAGTGCTCACTTGAGCAGCCTACATACTAAAACTGGAATGAAACAGAGAAGATTAGCATGGCCCCTGCTCAAGGATGACTACAAATTCATGAAGTGTTCCTTATTTTGCTTTTCCAGTATCTCTGGGTGGGGAAACTGAGGCTGGACAAAGAAGTACCTTACTCAATTGAGGGCCCTCCCAGCCTCAAACCCCATCCCTAACTCCTCCTCCTCCTTCAGAAAAAATTGGGAACAATCAAATGGTCTACTAGAGTGCACTACTTCCTTTTACATTAATTTCACCAATTTAAACAACAGGCATTTATTGAGTGCTGAGCATCAAACAGCCCCCATTCTTGGGCTGTTGGACCTATCCCTTTTGGGATTATCTGCACATTGCTGAATTGGTTGGTTTCCCTGTTCATAGATCATAATATGAATTTATAACCTATCAAAGAAAGAAATGCACTGTATTAGACAAACAAGTTAATGGATATGACCATTAGTTATTTTTAAGTCCTAACATCAAAATTAGTTTATAATCATGTTTAGATTTAGAGGAAATCAACCTATTCCCACTGAGCTATTTTAAAATTCAGAACTGGACTTTAAATGTTCCAAGAACATCTCTGTAGCTAAACTATTTTAACTTCCAAAAAGAGAATGAAACCATCAAAATAATCTGAATAAATCTTTCCTTTACTTTTCCCTATAATGTGTCAGATAAAGAAAAAAAAAAGACATCTAGAGGAGATGAATGACACACAGAGAGAGGGAAGCTCTGGACATCATTAACACCTAAAGAAGGTTTACTCACTCATCAGGGTTAAGTATCGCCAACAGAGTTTCTCCTTTACAGCAACGACTTTCTCTAGAAGTCACTGGAAAGTGCAGACACAGGCGGTTTTTATGTACATAAGCTTTGGTTTTGTTTTATAAATATAAAAGTTATGGAACGTATAGGCATTCTACATGTCTATGAATGCTACACACTGTCATACATGCACAGGTTTTTTTAATGCCCATTAACATAAAAGTAGAGAGTTTCCGACCAGTGAAAGTCAAATTCTCCATTCTACTCTAAAACCAGAAGTAGAGTGTTTCAGGGGAAAAAAACAAATGCTTCATGTAAAAAAACTTTTTAATAAGAAGATTTTTCTGGATAAATCTCCTATGTAGAGAAAAGAGCATATTTATGAAACAAATGCCATCTAAAGAGATCCACACACTTAAAAAACAAGAGTTGTGAGGTTTGAAGAAAAAAAAAATCACCCGACTTCATACTAAGGGCTATGGTTAATCAAATAGAGAAAGCACTGTGGAGATGGCAGCCCAGGAAGTAAAGGATGAAGGTACAAATAGGAACACATAATGTGTGGTAGAGCAACCCAAAAAATAAGAGTAAGTTTAGAATGACCCACAATTGCATGATAGTCTGAATCCAGTGAAACTTTCATTTCAACTAGATTACACTTTTAAGAGAAAGTATCCTTTTCTTTTGAAAAGGTATTACATTCACATGGCTCCAGAAAGGCACCAAAGAATTCACAATGAAAAATGTTCCTCTCACCCATCCCTTCTGCCCCCAGTTTACATCTGTGAAGCCCATCAAAGTTATCAGCTCCTTGTGTAACAGAGCACAGTGTTTTTAAAATATTTTTAAATTTATTTTTAGAGAGAGGGGAAGGGAGAGAGAAAGAGAGGGAGAAAAACATTGATCTGCAAAAGAAACACCAATTGGTTGCCTCTTGCTCACGCCCCAACCGGAGACTTGCATGCGCCCTGACCAGGAATCAAACCGGCGACCTTTTGCTTCTGAGCAAAGTATTTAGATACAAGTTCAGAAGCTCTAAAGGCAGCTCCAGATACCCAAAGTAGGTGAGATGAAGTCATAAGAGGGTATTTTCCAGGAAGCATCTTAATCGTCCCCCCTCACACCTGCTTTAAAGCAGGAAACCTCACGGCTCACAGTCATTCATCCTGAATTTACAGGGAATCCTACATGAGGCTTCCTTTTTCAACAATGAGCCAATTCTTTAAAAGCCCCAAATACATAAACTAAATTAAACAACAACAACAACAGGTTACCCTGGCAGGGTAGTGCAGTTGGTTAGAGCATCATCCCCATACGCCAAGGTTGGAGGTTCAAGCCCCAGTCAAGGCATATACAAGAATCAACCAATGAATGCATAAATAAGTGGAACAACAAATCGATGTCTCTCTCTCTCTCTCCCCCCCTTCCTTTCTCTCTCTAAAATCAATAAATCAAAAATGAAATAAAAATAAATCTTTAAAAAACAGATTAAAGAGACATGTGGTAAAAAAGCAGTGCCTAATACATAATAATCAATAAGTAGTTGTTGAATGAATGTGATGCGGCTCTAAAATCTGACATATCTGAGTTCAAATGCTGGCTGCCACTTACTAAGGGGTGGTTGAGTCTTGCTTCACTCCTTCGCAAAAAAGGGGATAAACACACATCCTTACATGGCTGCTGTTACGGTGTTGGAATTAAATGAGACACTACATGAGATCAGTCCGGAAAAACTCCAGCCATTGTTAATATAGCAAGAACAGTTTCAAAAACATCAGTGTAACCTGGCAGCCAAGGAGAGTGGACTGGAATGTGCATGCGTGAACAATGATGACTTCATTGTACTAGTCAGTGGGGATGGTAGACACTGTTGAGTGAGCATGTGTACTGTGTGACTGTCGCATTCAAAATGACTGAGTGAGTAGAGCAACAAATCTGCATCAAATTTTGCATTAAGCTTGAACATTCTTCCATGGAAACTATTCAAATGCTTCAGAAGACCACAGATATAGGCAACTGGTGATTGGCAGCTTCATCACGACAACGTGCCTGCTCATGCATCATGTCTCATGCTGAGTGTTTTGGTGAAACATCAAATCACCCAGGTGACTGAGCTCCCCAACAGCCCAGATTTGGTGCCCTGCAACTTCTGGCTTTTCTCATAACTAAAATCACCTTTGTAAAGGAAGAGATTTCAGACCTTCAATGAGATTCAGGAAAATACAACTGGGCAGCTGACGGTGATTGGGAGAACAGTGAGGTGCCAAGGTGCCTACTTTGAAGGGGACTGAGGCGTCATTGTCCTAGGTGCATGTTTCTTGTATCTTGTATCTTCGTCAATAAATGTCTCTACTTTTCTTAGTGCATGGCTGGATACCTTCTTCTATGTGAAATGGGTAGAGTTCCTGATATATTTTAAGTGCTTTGAAAATGACAGCTATCATTATTGCTTCCATGAGCAATTCATAACCTCCTATATACTTTTGGTCATAGAGATCAATTGGAGATTTGGCCCCCCAAGGGCACCCACAGCTGTCACTGAAACATTTCCAAGCTTGCATCATGCTGGGGTGAAGTGACAATCAGCATGGACTGGTGGCTGTTTGACATCACCCCTCTGCAACATCACTGAAGCAATGTCAACTTCCTCTGTACAGAGAGGGAAAAATTCACACCCCAAACTGACAATGACATAGCAATCTTGACAATCAGGGAGGGAAAAAATATCCACCTTTTCATAATGAACAATAAATTATTTGCTTTAAATTTTTTTCATACTGTGTTCAGAGAAACAATAGAATATATTGACAGTATTGCAAAAATACACTAAAAAGAAAAGCATTAAAATGTTGGTTCTTGAGGCATCACATTTACCACTGTAGCAAATATACACCTGGATTCAGTGAGGCCTTGGTCTAAAGGCCAGACTCTTTCATCCACAACTTGCAAAAGCCATGACTAATCTTCAAACATTGCAGTGTGAAAAGAAATACAGAGGCTTCTGCACTGCTTAGCTGCTATGTAAAAGTTGTCTGTGTATGTTGTATTTCAGAGCACAAGGGCTGTCACAGCACTGAATTACAAAGGAGTCACAACACCAGATTCTACAACACTAATACAACCTCAGAACCATCCTCACGCTCATGGGTCCTGTGCCCAAAAAGGGGGGTTTACAAGTAGCCATTTAGCACCTTCCTTGTGATATTTTTACACTGTGTTGTTGCCTTTCCTGTGGAGAAGGAACAAGAATGCTGAAAAACATTTTCTCTTCTGTGCCACAATTTAAAATAAGAAAATGTACTCATATAGGTTTTTCAAAAAAAAAAAAAATGGTAATATTAAAATTTCTTCCGTGTCAATGAAGAAGAAAAAAATTTTATTCCTAAAAATGACTCTTTCATAGAACATCAGGGTTACTTTGTGAGTGGCACGTTTTTAAAACATTTAATCAGTGATCTGAATATATGTCAACACCTTCTGGCGGTGTGCTATATAAAATGTGAACCTTGTCAACAGCAACAGAAAAAGGTGACACAGTTGGGACATAGAGCTTTTATGCTGACACACAGTAGTAATATAATTTTAAAATTTATCATCTGTTTACCTGCAACAATAATTAATCTTTTTGACAATTTATACAATGCTTTAAATAACACCTGGGTAGAAAAACAATACATTCTAATTTTTACTTTCATCAACTTCCTGGGCTTTATAGCTACAAATGCATAAAAAGCCACACAAACAAATTTTGTGATTAGGATTAAAATGTTAGCAAAAAATATTTCTCTTGTCACCTCACGCACCTCCTTGCCTCAGTTAATAAAATTACTTAACACAAGAACTGTAAGTGAGAGCAACTCCCAGAGGCACTGTGGGCCTCCAATGGTTCATTTCTGTCACATCAAATGACATTTTATTCCCAAAGCATTTAACCTATGACTTTACATGACTACTTATAGCCTGAAGAGAATTCTGGTGGGGGTCCAGAAATGACACTAATCCATCCACTAGAAACTCCATCAAGGAAGGCATGACCATCCTGAGTCCATCTGATACCAACACTTAAAAAAAGATAGCCAGGCAAATTGTCTTCAGAACGTTCAGAAGCATGTGAATACGTAAGTGGTGTATGGACTGGTGTTTCATATATCCTGTAAGGCTTCATAAGATTTCACGTTAAACCACATTAACATCCTTAATTAACCTCTTTCCTATTAACATTAAAACAAATGCATGTGGCCAAATATACCTGCTGACCCACTGGCCTGCTAACCTTGAGATTTAAGAAGCTGTGGGATAAAGCAGACACACCATT